AAAAAATGCAGTAAAGGTAATGTAGACGTAGATAAAGAAGTATTTTCTTGCCCAGTGATTTTTTTGGCCGGGAAAATGTTCACAAAACATCGACGAAATTATCGCTAAGAGCTACAAATGTGTGTATGGCTCGGTGTATGGGATAAAAACCAAACGTACTTGCAGGTTCGGTGAGTCCGGGATTGGACGCACCTCGGGTGGCTGGAAGTTTCACGAACCCACCTCGCTTCGCTTGGTAAGTTCGGGAAACTTCCAGCCACCCTCGGTGCGTCCAATCCCGGACTCATCTCCCTGCAAGTACGTTTGTTATAAAGTCAACTCGCTTTATAGGCGGGACAACTCGGCAAAGCGGGACAACTCGGCCCATGTAATCAGCCCCTAATTGTTACTGAAAAAAGGAATAACATTGATTAAATAACTGAGACGTTCAAATGGGTTACAGCTGTTTGCGTTGAATTGTTTTGTATTATATCAAAATATTCGCATATTTTTATACAATAAGAAATAATATAAATTCTTGAAGCATAGCCTTGAGCAAAGTGACCCAGGGTCGGCCTGAAAAAGTTGATTTTCTATACAGAACCGTGACTTATTTGAATTCTAGTTTCATTGATAATTGTTTCTAAACCTAGAGACAATTCAGTTGCTAGAAAACTATACTGAGCGAAACTAACGAAATATTGACATTTGACATCACAGCGAGTATACATTTCTGAATTCTTTCGGCCAGGGCCCGGGGTTTTCCCCGAGATTTAATTCGTACATTCTAACGAAACTTTTATAAAACAGTTTAATTTAAAAACGATGAAAATTCTGTCTGTAGTATGACTAATTCTGAGTTTTCCAATTTCATTGAACATTGTTATTTGTTAAACAGGTAAAGATATTCGTTAAAGAGGTAAACAAAGCGAACAGAGCGAAGATTGTATAGTATGCCACAATCAGGACTCGTGGCATTGAGGCGCACAGAAGACACTTGACACATTGGCATTGAATGACTCTATCCGTGAAGCCAAACTGTACTCAAACAATTTGATTCAAGCGCCAAACCAAAGAATGATGATGAAAGACATATTTACATAATCAAGCTTCATTCAGTGTAGTGTAAGGTGGTTTTATTTGTTAATATCAACAATTAGGTTTACCTAATATAAAGTATGCTCGATTTCGACACATTTTAAAATTTTACAAAGTTTGCGGGCTTGTAATTTTTGTCAAATGGTAGATCAGAAAGATATTATTGGCGATTTGTGTTGACTAATGTTAGTAGCTTTCGAAGTTGACATATTTTGATACGATATCCGTTATCCGTTCAGGAGGGTCAATAACTGCGCTGTTTTCTATTTTATACCAAAGAATAATTATCTAAGTCATATCACCCGCGAAAATAGAAGGGTAAGTCTATATTTCTGAGCAAAAATTTTGAAATTTAGGTATGAATTTGATTTAAAAAATAGCGCTGAAACTATGTCGATATTTTGCCTTCATTCAGAGTTCAAGTTGGTTACCAGCCGATCGAACATCCATCGCCCCCAAAAATAATTTAAAGGAAATTTGAGTAAAACGAAATCGATTTTAGTTGTTCCCAAGGATAAATCTTCAAAATACTAGAGTATGAGAGAAATCTTAAAACTGTATAGTAACTTGTTTTGAAGATTATATTTTTGTTCCCATGCTTAATTCTTGAGATACTTCATTTTGTTTGTAACCATGTGACGTCAATTACTCAATTACATATATAATGAGACATCAGTAACTGTTGTGTATCTTTGCTGTTTTTGATGGATTTGTTTAAAGCCCGTTCTCCACTAGGCGAATTTATTCGCGCGAACAGATAAAAAGTAGGAAGCGATCCTACTTTTTCGCCGCGAATTTTTTCGCCGACCAATCACGTTGCCGGATTTTGGTTTTCGCTTCGCGTCGCGCGAATAAATTCGCCTAGTGGAGAACGGGCTTAAAACAGGCAGTTTTCTTAATGATGTAGGTTAAATTAAGAAACGCGCCACATCTTTGAAACGATTTGATAAAAAATAGCAAAGATACACAACAATTACTGATAACTATAATGGTATATGTGTAATTGAATCATTGACGTCACATGGTTACAAACAAGATAAAATTGAAAGCTGATTTTCCCGCGCGTCGGCTTAACTGGAACGATTACCTCCAACCGGAAATGTGAAGCCATGCCCAGGCATGCCCATTGTTGTCATACCCATTGTTTTCACGCAACGGAAAAACGCGGTTTTTTAAATTACCAAAAACGGGGTCAAAATACACTAAAATACCTTCAAGATGACGTAAAATGCACCGACCAGTTCATTTTTTACGATAAAAACATCCTTCAAAACTCTAGAGTAAAATATTTTAATTTATTTGCGTAAAAGTCGTAATTAAATTTTCTTTTTTGAGAAAAACGTTGAGCGAGGAGTGGAACTTGCCGTGGTCTAATCATAAGTATTTGTGTGAATTCAGGGCCGTATTGGGGGGTGTAGGCCAAAAATTTCCAAACGACGAAAAAAAAATCCGAATATTTCATGCCATACGAAGCCACGAAGGAAAATGAAGACGCAATTTACAAACAAAAATACGCACATTTTACGCACAAACATATTACAGTAGGATGCAGTGCCGTAGAAAGATCTTTATTAAGGAAATAGGGACGAAATTTTTAAATTTAGAGTATCTGAAATGCCATTTTCTGGACTTTGGGGGAAGTTTTCACAGAATTTTGATGATCAGAAAACAGCGTTTTAGTATGTCGAAATTTACAATTTTCTTGCAATTTAGTAGTACTAAATGGGCGAAGGCGTATTTAATTAACCATATATTGGAGAAGTTGCAGGAAAGTATGGGTTACATGATTCTCTGCAATTTGTCATGTATTAATCAATTGTCAGTATTTTTAAGGTATATTATTTAAATGATAAAGGTCTGCATGATTTTGAAAAAAGAATGATTATTAGCAAATTATTGGGAGGGCTGCAGCCCCCCCCGGTCGCTACGGCCCTAAGAAGTAATAAACTGAAAAGCACTTAACGATTTACGATTTGTTAAATGTTATCCATGTAAATGCCATGATTTCGTAAATCAGTTTATACTGACAATACAATTATATTATATTTTCTCTGTTTAACAACAAAAATTTTGTTATACTATTATTGCCGTAATTTTTCGAATGGCCAACCTGATTTTCCGAATATGTTAATTCAAAAAACGTTGGGGAGGGGGTAACCCCCCCCCCCCCAATACCCCCTCGCTACTGCCCTATGTGAATTTCCCTATTTTGCTCATTCGTTTTCCAATTTAATTCTTCTAAAAGTCAGGAAAAATGGTATTCTAACAAAATTAAACTACCAACCAGAGTTTAATTATGTTTTGTAGTAGAATATTTAAGTTTTACAGTAAGAGTACAAATATAAACATTAAAGTTTCTTTTCTCCCCAGTCCCTTTTTGAACTTCAAAGCGCAAATTACTGGGGAGTTATTTAGTAAAAAATATTTTCAACAGCAAAATAGCAATTTAAAAGGCAAAAAAATACTAATTATGTGAAAGTTGTATGTAAAGAAACCATGCCACTCACATGTGCCATTCGTGGGTGCAATAACAAAGGTATTCCTCACCATGGAGAAGAAAATATCATTGCTTTTCACAGGTAATGACAACCTTATCATCATAATTATACAGTAAAAACACCAGACACAAGAAAAGAAGACAGTTTATTGAGTTTAATAAAACACATAAAGATAATATATATCTTATGTGCAATAAATTATAATAGTCATTTTTGTACGAAATACATTATGTCCTCTGCAAACTGTTTGACCTTCAAATATAGGCATCTGGAAAGGGCTAATAGTATGGTATTTAACCCAACTTCCCCATTGACGAGTAAAATCGTCTGGCGCTAGAAAAGTAAAAATATAAGCAGGGCGCACTGGTGCGCATTGCGGCTCAATTGGTTAACTAGAGACATTGTCAGATTTTTTGGTTAACCCACTAAGCTGCAGAGCTTCCCCATTGACGAGTAAAATCGTCTGGCGTTAGACAAGTAAAACAAATAAGCAGGGTGCACTGGGGGACATTACGTCTAAATGGGTTAAAAGCCTGCATAGCTATTTTTTGCATCCAGGAGAGCTTTAACAATAGCAGCACAAATTTTATGTACGTGCAACCATTATAGATTTCCAAGGAAAAATGCAACTGACCTAGCAAACTGGGAATGTTTTGTTCAAGAAGCTTACCAAAATGCATCATGGAAAGCAATCAATTATAGCCGCATTTGCAGCGACCACTTTGAAATCACTGAGTACACCATCAAGGTCCAATATCACACGTACAGCTCTACCACTACCAGATGAATTATAATGCAGACTCGAAGTATCTAACAAGAGACCATTCCCTACAAACAAGTCACGAAAACCTATTACCACCTGCCAAAGTTGCCAAACCTCTACCTGCTGAAAAAAGAGATGCATTAGAGCAAAAACTAACAGAAACAACAACAGCTACGCCGGTCTAAACAAAAGACAAAAACCATGGATGAGGTGATCAAAATCATGAAAGATAAACTTGTTATCAGTTCAAAGGAGGCAGAAACTCTGCAGGAAAACTTTAAAAATACACATTTAGAATTTTTATATAACTTTAAAGACAATCTAACATATTTGCCTTGCGGAAGGAGATACACAGATGAAGTTAAGGAATTTGCTTTAACTCTCTACTTGTACTCACCAAAAGCGTACAAATATGTTAGATCAATAATCCCTCCGCCAAACCCATCTTTAATCAGGAAATGGTCCACTTCCATTAAATGCGACCCTGAATTTATTGAAGAAGTATTTACATCGCTATCCAACCAAATTGATGCTTCCCCTATAAATAAGGACTGTTGTCTGGTTATCAACGCTATGGGAATTCGCAAGCAAACATTATGGAACCCCAAGAAGGTCCAGTATTCAGGTTTTGTTGATCTTGGCAATGAAATTCCAAATGTTCAGTGTGACAAACTGGCATCTGAGGCATTGGTTTTCCTCTTAGTTGGAACAAGAAGTCATTGCAAATGTCCAATTGGATACTTTTTAATGAACAAAATCTCAGCCAAAGACCAAGCGGTATTGGTGTCAAAATCCTTGGAAAAGGCTGCAAAGGCAGGTCTGAAGGTGTGGTCAGTGACAGCTGATTGAACAGCAGTACATCTCCGAACATTCGAAATACCTGGTTGTAAATTATTCGGCACGTATGATGAAATGAAAACATCGTTCAACATCCAACAACTGAGGAAGACGTTTATATAATCCTTGATCCATGTCACATGTTGAAACTGGCTCGTAATGCTCTTGGCCACTTTGGGTCCTTTGTTGGCAGTGACGGAAATGAAATAAAGTGGCACTACATCAACGAATTACAGCAACTCCAACAAGAATCTTGCCAAGAAACTCTCAATGAATCACCTTAAATACGAAAAACATAAAATGAATGTTAGACTGGCTGCACAAACTCTTAGTTCATCTGTGGCAAAAATGCAATCGAGTTTCTAGATGTCTCTACTAAACATCCTAGTTTTTGTGATAGTCAAGGAACAGTCAAATTCATCCGCACAATAGACCAACTTTTTGACATGCTCAATAGCAGAAATCCTATTGGAAAAGGGTTCAAGACACCTCTACGTCTCCAAAGCAAGGACACATGGCAAGAAATTTTTTCCACCACAGCGAAGTATCTACTGTCGTTACTACGCATTTCACTGATATGTGCATTCCGCATTTTTCTCGCTTCCGAACGGCGTTCGACGGTCAACGTTCGACACAGGCCTGGTTACAAAATTTGGCGCCTTTTCAAGTTTTCATCAATACTTCTGTCATTCAAGACAAGACAGTGACTATTTATATTAACTTCGGAAAATTCAAACTTGAAAAAGCGCCAAATTTTGTAACCAGGCCTGGGTCGAACGTCGACCGTCGAACGCCGTTCGGAAGAGAGAAAAAATGCGGAATGCACATATCAGTGAAATGCGTAGTAAAACTAATACACCTACAACACAACTACTTTCAACAACTGCACGTAAAACATTTATAATCGGGTTTGTAACCTGCATCAAGTCAACATTTTATATGGTTACACAAACGCTTTATGCACCAACCAACCCATTCAAGTACCTATTAACCTACAAATTCTCGCAGGATCATATCGAACTGCTTTTCTCGTGTATACGATCCACAGGAGGATTGAATAATAATCCCAACTGTTTTCAATTCATGTATGCACTTAGAAAAATGCTGATGAGGAATGCCATTACCGCATCAAAAAACGCAAATTGTGTGGACTTCACTGGTTGCAACAGCATTATTCCACTTTTTCATGTTAGAAACACAAAGCACCACCAACTAACAACGAAAACCCAAGAATAAAGCACATCTGATGAGATAAATGCCATGTGTGAACAGTTGGACCGAAGTGGGCACAGCGAATTTACTTATAATGTGTTTTTTTTTACATCGCTGGGTACATAGTGTCAAAGCTAATGGAAAACCTACCTTGTTCTGCATGTAAAAGAAGCCTTTTCGCTCTGCCAAAACAAACCCCTGCAAATGGCCATGATTACACCTCCAGTTTATATCATGAGGCTGGCAAAGCATCGTCTTTCACTAGATTCGCCAATCAAGGTTGTTTACAAATCCCATCAACCTCGGTATTTCGAACAATCGAGTACTGTGAACACGTTTTTAAAGCAACGGTCTGTGATAAAGATCATCAACAAATTATCAACGAGAAAAATCTAAAGAAAAAATGATAATCAACGTATGTCACCACTTCACACTGGATACAACAGTGGATGTTTTCACAGATCATGAAGACGGCGACAACGAACTGTTAATCGAAGACAACCACAGAACAAAACTGATAAAATGCACCGCGAACAAGTATTTCACGTTGCGATTATTACACGTTGCAAGAAATACATAGAACAAGTCGTCAACAAAGGCAAACAAGTGATAGACACAGACTAAATAAACTTATCTTGTTTAACAATCAATGAAGTTGTTATGTTAATACGTTAAAATAAAGAATTACTTATCTTTCATCTCAAGTTTCATCTAAACGTTCCAATCATTCAAATATGCACTCGTTGTCTCCAAACTTCTTCGATGCAGAGTTCATTTTCTGCCCAATCGGTTACCTTAATCCTCGCAGTTTTACTCGGTAGGGTTTAAGATATGTTTTAAATACATTTTGAATACAAAAATGTAGCTTAAAACCCTAAAATAAACGACAATTTTCGATCCATTCGCCCGAACAAAATCATTGATGTGTGCACGCCATGCCAAATGGTCTCGCGCAGGTATCGCGAGAATGTCTCGCAACACAAACGCGCGTGTCTGGAGGTAGAAAACGCGCGGCTGGAAGTAAAATTTGGCTTCATCCAATCATAAGCCAATTCTATTGAAGGTAGCGTTCCAGTTATTTTTAGTTCACTGGGCCTTCATCATAGGAGCTAGCCTTCCAGTTTACTTATGGTTCAGTGAGTGGCACTTTCTGGTAATAAATCCATGTCCTATATACGCGAATATGAGAGATACACCCTCTGTATTGATGTATCCACTTTTATTCACCGTTATCTAGTGTCATCAACCGTCATCTACTGTCATTTACTGTCATTCAGTGTCATGTACCGTAACCTACCGTTATCTAGTGTCATCTAGTATCATCTACCGTCATATAGTGTCATATAGTGTCATCTACTGTCATCTACCGTTACATACCGTCATGTAGTGTCATCTGCCGTCATACACACACACACACACATA